GAGATTAATTACTATAGAGAATTATATTAAAAGCATATTTATCTTGACTTATTATTAATAATTAAAAACAAAGGGAATTCGTTATTAAAGAACTATATAATAAGATTAGATATATCGGAAGGGAAAGTACTTTTTATTTAGTAGCTAGCTACTATTACTAGAAAGGTTACTATAACTATATATAGAAATATATAAATACCTATAAGGTCTATTAATATAAGAGTAAAAGAAAATAAAAAGAAACTCTATATCTAATAAAAGCTATATCTCTTTTCTATTATTTTAGGATTAATATAATTAAACTACCAGACTATAAAAGATATAATTTATTAGTTATTACTAGAAATAACTTCTCGGAATGGGTTAAAGCTAGACTTTTAAAGAATTCAACTAATAAGAAAATTATTAAGTTTATTTGGAAAAAAATCGTTTATAGATATGATTTATTTGAGTAGCTTAAGGTAAATAGCGGATCGGAATTTAAAAGAATAATAATTCAGGAATTTAATAAACTGGGAATTAATAGAATTATTATTTTAGTCTATAATTCCAAAAGAAATAGTATAATTAAAAGAGGGTATTAATTAATTATTTAAATATTTATTATATTTATAATAGATAGAAAGAAGCCTTAGATAGATTTACTATTATATATTCTATTTACCGACTGAGTTACTATATATAGACTAACTGGATTTACTTCTTTTTATATAGTTTATAGCCGGAAAGCTATATTATTTATAGAAATATACTTTCTAATTTAGAGAATATTTAAATAGAATAAAGTCTATAATAGAGAAATATTTCTAGAAATATATATAATATAAATATAAATAAGAGATAAAGATATTAAAAAAGCCAGAATAAAAAAAGATAGAAAATACTAAAAGGAAAAGAAGTAATTTAATATTATTTACTAGATTTATTTAAAACCTATTTCCGAAAAGATTCTATTTCTTATATATAATATTAAATTAATAAATTAAAATAAGTTAAGAAATATAAAACTATTATATTATTGGCTTGGCTTATATAGAGTAAGATATATAGATTAATTAAAAGAATACTATATACTAGAAGAGTTTAATAGTATTATATTCCGAAAAATATATACCGGGAATTAATTTAAGTAGTTTATTAAAAGAGATAAATTCTGGTATTCTTCTAAAGATAAAGTTAATAATAAATATATACCTATAAACAAATAGTTTAAAATAGATATAAAACTAGAAAAAAAGCAATTATAGAATATTATAAGTAAAATAGTATTTAGGAAATTAAGAAAACTACCGGTATTATTATATATATTCTAGAGTTATTAGAATCGGAAAAAATAAAATATATCTCCTTTATAAAAAACTGGGAAAAAGTATTTAATAATAGGGGCTTTTTTTAATCTAAAATAAAGTTTATTATTTTTGATTCTTTATATATCTTTTTTTTTTTCCTTCCGATTATTATTTATAGCCTTTGGAAAATATTATTATTGAATTACTATTTTGGAAATCGGATAAGCTTTATTATTATTTATTTCTTATTATTATCTAATTATTATTACTAGATAGTATTTTTAATATAAGATTCTATTACTAGTTTTTGAAAATCGAATATAAAATACTCTTTTTAATATAAAATAAATAAGGGATTAAAAGCTTACTTTATAGACTTTTAATTCCGAACTATAATATTTTTTAAAAAGTTTTTATAATATAAATAATAATTATATATAAAGAAGAAAAGGAAAAAGAGAAAAGAAAAAAATCTTTTATATATTTTTTATTAAACTAGAAATCTTTAGAAAACTTTATTTGCCTTTTTAGCTAGCTATTTTTATAATTTATACTAATTTAAAGCTTAATTATAATATTTATAGATCTTGATTTTAACTTAAACTACTATTATAAATTTATTTATAATATTTAAATGAATTTCCTAAATAGAAATTATATATAAACGGAATAGCTAATTAGAAGCCCTATAAAAGGAAAAGAAATCTTATTAAATCCAATAGTTATTTCCGAAAGTTTTTACTAATATATAATTCTGGAAAGCTTTTGGATATTAGATAAATTAGATCTATCTATTTAAAGTCTATTTTATACTAGAAAACCCATTTCTTTTTTAATATAATTATAGCTATATTTAAGATATATATTAAAGTTTAATTAATATATTATATATTTCTATTTCTATATAAAAAGAACTTCTTTTATATAGAACTCTTTCTTTAATTACAATATTATTTTATTACCGGAAACCGATTACTTCTTTAAAAAACTAATACAATTTGCTAATTCTTGCTATTAATCTATTTCTTATAATTAAATATTATTTGAATAATTAAAAAGATATTTTTAATCTTATATTTTTAATACCAATTCGAAATAGTTGAATTTTCTATATTCTATATTAATTTTAATATTAACTATTCCAAACTTAATAACGGTATTATAAACCCTATTTATATTATTTTATAGTTTTTCTTTCTATAATCTCTAAAGCCTTTAATATTGCCTTTATAGATATAGATATTACTTTAAAATCCCAGCCAACTAAATAATTTTATATTATATTAAATCAATTTTAATAAATATTAAATAAATGGGATTAGCTTTTAGAAAAGATATAAATCAGTTTTAAAAAGAATAATATTTTATTTTGAGTTATTTCTTAATTCTATTATTTTAATTTCTTTTCTATTAATATTTATTTTATATTTTTTTAATATTTTTAATATATTTATATATTTTACTTTTAAATATTTCCTATATTATTTCCTTTTTTTTATATTATTTTTTAAATTAATAGAGATATCTCTAAATAAATAAAAAATCGAAATATATTTATATTATAAAATTTTTATTATTTCCCTCTATATTTCAATACTTTAAATACTATTACTATATTTATATTTCTATTATATTATCTTTTTGTTTTCCTATTATTACTATTTAGTTTAACCTGCTTTAATTATTTCCTAGATTATATTTCCTTAAATATATATATTTGTATTTTTTTTATAATAAAAGCCCAATTCTATATTTTATCTTTTATAATTATTTCTAATTTATAACTATATTATCTCAAATATATCTAATTATTATATTTATTTTCCCTATTATATATATTACTATTTTAGCTTTATTTTCTTACTAGAAAGAAAAGAAAAACTCAAATATATATAATACCTTTATATAATTTAAATCTATTCCAATTTATTCTTTGTTTTAAAAAGTATTTAAAAGAAATTCTTGTAATCTTAAGAACCTTTAGCTCTATAACTTATAACTATTATACTAATAATACCTATATAACTTCTTTAAGAATAATAAAATGGCCAAAGGGCAGATTTTTCAAGCCAGTAAGATATAATAGCTAGTTCTTATAAGCTATAGTATTATCGAAAGCCTATAAATTAATAGTATTAAAGTTTAGACTATTAAAAGGGTTTGGGCAATTATAGAAGGCCTGCTAATACCAGAAAAGATAGTTATAATTACTGAATTTAATACGAATATTCTAGGTAAGCTAAATAGTATATATAATAAGCTCTTAAAATGGAAAACCTTTATTAGAAATAGAACTGGACTGGGATTAACTAAAGAGGAACTAAAGAACTACTAAGCCAATAATAGAGAATTTAAAAATATTATTAAAGGCATTTCCAAAAGCAGATAAAAAAAGCTTAATAAGATTAAGACTATAGTAAACGGTCTGGAAACTAAAAGTTAGAATGGAATTATATTATATAATAAAGCTTTTAATTAATATATTAATAATATCTATAATAACTTTAGTAAAAATATCTATAAGAAGTTATATTTCCTTTTTAAAATAAAAGCTTTAATATACGAAGCTATTTAGTTAATTAATAAAGCCATTTTAGAATATATTAAAAATAAGAAATATTAAAATACTAGTATATTTGCTAAATCAGATATTATTAAGGTATTTAAGTATATTGAAGCTATTTCGGAACCTGGAGAATTGGTTTTTAAGCCATTATTAGCTAATATTTTTAAAGCTAGATAATATACTTTTAATACTTCCGGAATCCTGATTAAGGGAGTTTATAGTAATAAGCCTTTTTTTGTTTTCTGAGATAAGTCTAAAGAATAGGCCCCTATTATAATTTCAGCTTCGATTTAATTGGATCCAGCTAATAAGAATAGAGCTGAATTAATATAGCCTGGTAATAAATCTGCTAGTAAAACTAGTAGAATTAGTATAACTAGATAAGAAGAACCTGGTAAGAATAGAGAGTAAGCTAAACCTAAGACTCCTGAAAAATAGCGAAAATCTAAGTACTAGTTCAAGTATAAGGCTAGTAAAATAGAGGAAAACGAAAAGGAAAGCAAAAAGAAACCCTTTATTCTAAAAGAAAAGATATAATCCAGAAAGACTCCCGTATCTATATCCAGAACTAAAAAGCGGAAAACCAAAAATATTAAATCTATAGAACTTAATAGTATCTAATATACCTATAAGATACTAGCTAAATGGAAATTAATACTTACTTAATAAAATAAGTATATTTTTAAGAAAATATATAATAGTATTTTGGAATCCATTTATAAGCGAGAATACTATAGAGTTATTAATAGATTCCTTAAAGCTCTCTATATAATATATATTTGGTAGCTAACTAATATTCTTTCTATTAATATAGGAGATATTAATAATATTAAGAATATTCTAAAGCTAATTACTAAGATCTATATAGTATATTAAAGGATTATTTAAGTTATTCAAGTTATTTATAAATATTTATAAATAACTTAAATAAAATATAAATAACGAGTAGCTTAAAAAACTTGAGTAAAATAGAATAATTATTTATGAATAACATGAATAACTATAAATAATTACGTGGAAGTCACGTGGAAGTCACGGGATCATTATAAATCGACATATATTTAAATTTTAAAAAAATAAACTAAGATATCTATTAAGCAGCCTTATATAAGCTAAGCTAGAGCTTATATAAGGCTACTTAAATATCAATTTTCTATAATAATAAACTGATTATCCTTCCCAGAATCTTGGTTTTTCTCCTTTTTCTCACTCCTTTTCTCTTCTTTTTTAGCCTCTTCTAATTCATCTTGAAATAACCCCCAGCTTTTTAAGCAAGATATTATCTCAAAGGTACTCTTATTAAGTCTATTACGTAGTTTAGACATAATAAGAGCACCCTGAGAAAAAAACCTCTTACTAGCTACCGAGGAAGCCGGAATTCCTAAATATTTCCTAGCTATTAAAGCTAATACAGGGAATCTAGCGGCATTAGACTTCCAATAGTCTAAGGGCTTAGTCTATATATATATATTAGTACTAATATATTAAAAAATATTAAAAGAATATCGGATAGATATTTAATAGAATTTAAGTAAAGTTTTACTTACTCTTTTATCTTCTCTTTTTTCTTCTAAATAAGTTATTAATTCGTTCTCTATTTTAAAGAACGAATTAGTAATATATATATCCGAGCTACCAGAATCGGAATCGGAATCGGAATCGGCCATACTAATATCCGAAGTATCGGATCTAGCTTGAGATATATTATAATTATATTTATATCTAAATTCAAAAATTAGTTATTAAAATACTAAAAGCTAATAAAAGGAAGTACTTATACGTTATAATTAGTCTTTAATCTATTATATATATCCGAAGATATACCGCTAGATAAGCCAATACTAGTTAATCCTTCTTATTTAATTCGAGGATCAAGAATAAGAGCCAAATATAAAGCTTTACTTTTATTATCTAAAACGCCTGTTTTAGGATAATATTTTCGAAGCTTAGCTATACCCTTATCTATAGTATCTGTAAGTGCTTTGTCCTATTAAATATTAGTATAAAAATATTAATAATATAAGAAGAATTTAAGAAAAGACTTACTTTAAATTTCTTTTTGAAATTTTCTAATTTATTATATATTTTATATACTTCAGGTATAATATAATATATAGTAGGATAGTTTTCGGCTTGTAATTTAGTCGTTGCTTTAATAAATATTGAAATTATATTTAAAATATTATTTAAATAAGTAATTTCAATATTAGTTAAAACTAGACTTTTATTTTTAAAAGCCTTTGAATTTGAATTAGAGCTATTAATAACTACTTTAATAGCTTTATATATATACAAAAAGTTCTTTAATATATAATAAGTCGAAGACCACCGTATTTTTTGATCTATAAATAATTAGTATTAATTACTAAGTTAAGGAAATCGAGTATTTTCTATATTAAAAGCTTTAATTTGAGCTTCTAATAGCCGTTGGTTTTCTTGATTATATTTAAGACTTATAATAGTCTTTTAAACCTTTCTCCAAATTAATAAATCTATAATTTATTAATAAAACTCTTATAAATTATAAAGGGAACTTACTTGTTATTTGTTCTACTTCTCTTTCTTCTTCTCTATCTTCAAGTTCTTCTATTTCTTGCTCGTATAAATCCGTAGAATAAGAGGTATTATAATCGTTCTTAATAAGAGCTTTTAAAATATCTTGAACTACTAAGTTTAATACGTAAGCTATATAAGGAATATCTCCTTGAAATTTAATACCTTTCTTATTATAATACTTTATAAAAGCCTTTAATAAGGTATAATTTGAGCTGGCATTATCTTGAGTAAGACTAATAAAAAAAATATTAGTAATTATATAATTAATTTAAATTTAAATTACTTACCTAGTAATATTATATTTAATATTATATTGTTTTAAAGCTTCTAATAAAACAGAAAGCATATAAATACCGGAGTATATATTGTTTAAGTCTTTTATAGCTAATAAATAAGATTTTAATTTAAAATACTTATTTATAAAGTATCTATAATATATTAGTATATATTTTACTTAATAATTATTAGAATATATAAACTTATATAGTAATTCCAAGAAAGGCCTTTTGATTTATACCTGTCCAAGTATTTAAAGTAATAGAGAAAGTTCCTTGAGAATTAATATTCTCTTTTAACTCTTCTTTAATATTTAAACTCTTTTCGATATAGCATAATTTAAGCTCATCTATAAGAGCCTTCGAGTATATAGCAGGTACTTGACTATTAAATATTAGTATATAAATAAATAAAGAATAAGGTAATAAAAGCTTACTAATTTAAATAAGATATTAGCTTTTTAAAGCTTGGAATAGTAATAGCCCGAAAAGAGATATTATTATTAATAATAAAATTTAATAATAATCTCTTAAAGTAATTAGTAGTAAAGCTTTCTTCTCATTATCCCGATTGCTTATTAAAAAGGCTAGTTATAGTTATTTATAAGACTTGACTAGAAGCTTCACTTTTACCTATTAAATATATTAGTAAATATTTCTTTTTAATTAATAATAAAATAACTTACTATTATTATTACTATCCTTAAGATTCTTAAGGTCTATAAATTTATGGGAATGCCGAAAATGAGAGTAATAATTACTCGTAGGAGCATATATTTATTAATTAAGCCATATTTTACTATTAGATTAGTTAGTAAAAAATTTATTAAAAATTAATATATTAACTTACGAATACCCTCTAATCATACATTTAATAGTGCATGTACGGAGGTCCTCGATATTCTCTTGTATAGGATTTAGCGTCTTCTTTAAGTAGCCTTTCTTAAAAAGAGAAGCTTGCTTATTAAGTAGTCTTAATTCGAAATCGGGGTGATTTTGACTTATATTAAGCTTGATTGAGGAGTCTTGAGACATTTTCGAGTATATTAAGTATATATAAGGATATGTGTAGTATAAAGTAATATAATAAGAGTAATGGTTGATTTTTTGTAAGTAATTAAAGTATGAGAAAGAAGTGAAATCGAGGAAAACGACGTATTCTTATAGAAAGTTCTAATATTCTAAAGTCTTCTTTATGATTCTTCTGATTATAAAGGTTTGCTTTAGTCCAAAGATTCTAGTTCTTTGATTTCTAATTTTTAGCTCCTATATTAGTAATTTAATATAATTGTAATTTACGGAGGTTCTGGAAGTATCATTGAGGTTCGATTCGCTTACCAAGCGCCACTACTACCTGATTGGCTAGTGAGGTGGCGCCAGGTGCGGGACCACCTGAGGCCTTACCTAATTAGGCTAGCTTATCACGTGTACAGATCACGTGCGTTATTCAAGTTATTCATGAATATTCATGAATAACTTGAATAATATATGAATAAAATATGAATAACGAGGTTTATACTTGAATAAAATAGAATAACGGCCGTTATTCTATTTTACTCTATTCATTTAATATACTGGATCTATAAAGTTACCAAAAGCAAGAAGGATATTTCTATTATTTAAATAGATAAGGAAATACGGGATTTCTTTTTTAAAACCCAGGAAATTAAGGAATAAAGATATAAGTATTATATTTCCGATTAATTCTATTCAAATCTATAGCTCTAATTCAATATTATAGTTCTTGTTCCTGAATTTAGTATTACTAATCTGGATATAAATAGTTATATTTATAAAAAGAATTATCTAAAATAGATTAAGAAGCTTAGTATTCGGGAGCTCTTAATATAGGAAATAGAGATATTATAGTTCTATTTCCGAAAAGATAATATATTAAAATATAGAGATCTAGGTAATAATTATTTTACCTTAGTCTTTTAACTTTTAATAGCAGATCTATTAATATGGCTCGGATTTTATAAGGCATTAAATAAATACCCTATCTACCTGGTTATTTACCTTTAGCTAGTCCGATACTATATTCCTGAAAGTATTAATTATAATTAGTATAAAGGTAATATTAAAGATCTGGCTATTATTAAAGCTTTAAATAGCAAATTCTATTTTAATAAAGAGTATTAGAATATCAGCTATATTTTTCTTATAAATTGCAAGAAGGCTGCTATTTTTAGTAAGAAATTCTTTAAGGATATTAATTACTCTTCTATTTCCAATAATTTTAAGCCGGAAACAGTTAAGAAAATAGGCAAGTATCTACTAAAGGTAGTAGAAGAAAAGATTCCGAATATAGTCTATTTAACTAGATAAATAAATACCTTTAGTTAAATAATCTATAAGTCTGGAATTATAGGTAAGTAATAATTCTCGGATAATATAGAAACCGAAGAATAGCTTAATAATAATTTGCTATTTAATAGGCCTTTTACTATAATTCCAATAAATTTAATTACTATTAAGAATGGAATATATGAAAATGGAATCTCTTATAAGGTTATTAAAGCCTCTTATTTAGAGCTTTCTCCTCTTATTAAAGGTTAATTTAAAAATATAGGAGATAATACAAAATTCGAAGAAGCCATTTGTTTAAAATATATTAGTGCGATTTACGATATAATTCGCTATAATAAGCCTTTTTAATATCTAGTAGTAAAGGCGGAAATTAAGTAATAGTTAAAGGCAAATACTAATTAATATAAAGAACTATATCGGATTTGGTATAAGAATACGGCTAAGCGGATTCGAATTGCCTTTAAATAAGTTCGGGAGTATGAAATAAGACTATTTGAGGATAATAAGTCTTATTTTAGGTATATAGAGGAGAAATTAGATTAATTAATAGAAGAGAATTCTAAATATTTTATTATTTTAGATTCTAAATAGGATTTTTCTATTATTTTTAGTATTTAGGAAATAAGTACAAATAAATAGGAGATCGGATATAATACGGCAGGCCGTATTTATTAAAAATCATATTGTTTTAGCGGTTTTAAAATTTAAATTATATAGTAAAGGCCATAGCCTTTTATATATAATTTGCGGAAATTATATAAGAAAGCTGGTTTTTCTATAGTTCTAGAGAATAATCTCTTTTTAATATTTAATTAATTAAGCTTTTATATACTATATACTATTTATATCTTACTATTTATATTTTTAATCTTATTATTTTACTATTAAGTTATATTTTATACTCTGGTATATTTTATATAGGTTTTTGTCTTATTATAGTTTTTTTTTCTATAATATATTTTATTAATTTAATTACTAATTCTAAAGATAAATTTAAGCGGTCTACTAATAATAGTTACTATAAACCAAATTCTTTAATAAAGTTCAAAATTTCCTAGAGCTAATTCAATAATAAATAAAATAGCAAATACTTATATAAGAAAATATTAGATTTACTAATAAGAAACCGTCCAGTTTCTATTTTATTTAATTTATTAAATATTACTAATACCCTATTTAATGCCCTATAAGCCTTTTCTACCAAAGCTTTTAAGGGCAAATCTATAAGCCGATTTCAAGTATATTAATCCAGATTATATATATTTATAAATAAAGATATAAAAGCCAGTTTATATAATTCTAATAAT